TTTTTTTTTTTTTTTTGAGGTGTTCAGAATCAAATCCAAGGCAGCACACAGTCAGGCGCTCTACCACCAAGCTGTATCCCCATCCCTTATTCTCGCTAGGTTGTTTAGACCTCAAAAGCTAGAGCCTCCTGCCCCAGCCCCCTGCATAGCTGGAATCACAGGCATGTGCCGCTATACCTGGCCATGATGGCATCCTTTCCATTTTTATTTCAGTTACAGTTTTATATGTGAACTGTCCATCGCTAAGAAGTGTAGGCAGTTATGTTGATATACTCAGGTTGTCTAATTTAAAGCAGGTAAGCTTTATTTAGTTGTTTCTTTAGAGTTAGATTAAGCTTATTTTTAAAAAATATAATTAGGTTAATTTAGTTTGATAATTCTAAAAGTTCTCTAGGAAATACGAATATCTTATTTGAAAAATTGTGATTTGGGAGGGAGGAGCTAAACTTTTAAATAGGAATTAGGTCTAAGTATTTGATATTTTCAAATAAAAATTTCATTTTAAACATTGACTGTTCAAGGTTTCATTATCTTAATTAATTCCTTCTCCCCTTTCCCACAAGGTTTTTATAAGTATTGTACATGTGCAAGGCTCTGGGTTCAGTCCTCAGTACGACCAAGAATAAAAAGGTATTATAAAAAATATACTCATCCCATTATAGAATACCTGTTATTACGTTCCCTTCCGTAACTAGCATGACTTTAGTAACATATCACAAACTAGTTATGACAACATGTGACAGGATGCCTCCCCAGTAACTGCATTTATGGTGTTTGTGTAGCTGCATTTATTGACACGGTGTTCTCTTGGCACTTTGGAGCCCTACTTTGCTGAGGTAATTACCTCCCCAGTAGATTGTTGGGAGACTTCATTTGTACTTGTGAAAGCCCTTTATAAATTTTAGTGCATTTGAATATAAAGTATTACCTTTATTGTTATTAGTTCAGAATTACTCCATTTGAAGGTATCTATTACAGACTCAGTTTTTCTGTGAAGGAAAACAATTTCTGCCTGCTTAAATTTCCTATGGCCTAATGACCTGTGTATTCATATGTCACAATCACTCTTTCCATTTCAGCCTGCCATGGAATCATACATATAGCCCTAAACAAAATCTCTTCAGGGCCTCAACTTTTAAAAGTATGGTAAGGGGCGCCTGAGACCATAAGTCTTAAGACCCACATAGGATCATTACCCTTGGTCACTTAAGAGCTTTGGTGACTGGTGACCTCTCTTCTCAAATTATTGTATCTTTTACAGGGACTTTATCATTGTTTTCCCAGTAACTTCAGTCCCAAGACACAAATATAACATGATTATAGTCATGTAGGGCCAAGGAAACCATTAGACCTCTTCAGGAAAAAATCAGAATAAGAGGAACCCAGTGTGAGCCCAGAAAGCTGCCAGCCAGTCTCTTCCACATAGCAAAGCCCTAGGAATACAGCAGGGAAGGAGACAAGTGTGATTGTTGGGTTTAAAAAGGATCTTAACAAAACCTTTTGATGAGGGAGGGAGGTGTTAACAGTCTGTTCATTACTGTGATGTAGGTGAAAGGCAGCACCTTGCAGTGTAATTTCCAGTGGGCTGCAGACTCCCCCCAGAGCAGCTGTGTTTCTTGAGGCAGCATGCTGTTGGCCACTCTGTCCCACCCCATCACAGAGAGCATTCCTTAGATACTGCAGTCAGAGGAGGCAGCAGACTGAGGAGTACATCTCCCACCCATTTCCTGCTGTGAATGTGACTGCCTGGAGGCTGGAAGTGGAGAGGGCACTTGTCCCCATCTCTCCGTGTTTCCGGAGGTCCCACTTTTCAGGGCTCTCGTGTCTGCCCATGCAGTATGAGCAGGTTTCCCTGAGTTAGGAGTCAGCAGTCAGGTGGGGTCAGGAGAGAAAACTCCATTTGGTTTCTGGCTGAAGAAGACTGTGTCCAAACCTGAGTGTGCTCTAAATGCAAATAAATACATTGGCTTGCACCACAACTTAATATTTAGAGAACAACTTGATTTGTTTTTTAGAGGAAAATGCATACTGACTTCACTTTTATCATCTGCAAATCTCAGGGAGAGAGGGAAGTCTAAGGAGTTAGGGATTCCTGTTGTCCTGGGGTGGGATAAAGATGCAATTATTGTGCAAAATTACTGTGCAAATATGAGTACTGATTTTACAAACTGTTGTTTTGTTTTCCTTTTAGGTGAGAAACCTTTTGAATGTAACATTTGTGGGAAACATTTCTCTCAGGTGGGAATACTCTTATTTACTGTTAATAATTGGAAATTTGAAACCCAGATTCTGTTTTTAAGTGTTTATTTTTATTACAAATAAGACGCTTTTGTACTTGCAAGAGAAGCCTCGATAATGTCTATAACTTAAAGACTTTAGACTAAATCAGGAAATACTTTTTAAAGAATTGAAGTTCATGCAAGTTTCAAGTTCCGCAGGGAGGGGATGGCATTTGTTGTCTGTGTGACTTCTTACCTTTTCCTTCTGCTGAAGCACGGATCTGATCCTGGTAGAATGTGTCTCCTGTTTCTTCTCTTTTGTGAATGAAGTTCCTAGAACACCACGCTGATTTCCTTGGAGGTTGCAGATTACACTAGGCTGGGGCCTTATAAGTCGTCTTATTCGTACTGGGACTGTTGATTTTAGGATGTTGGGAAAAAATAAGAGTCAGTCGCTTTTACTCCCTGCTTCTGCTGCCGCCTTTCAGCTGACTTCCGTTAAGATCAATCTGGATGTGCACTTAATTTTCTCATTCAGCAAACATTTATTATTGGCAGGTAACTGAGCTAGGCACAAGACACAAAGAAATGTCGAGATTTAATGTTTTGTAGAAAATGTCCAGTGTAATTGCCTAGGTTGAGGGCACCAGCTTTTCTGTCTGACATAGGAGGTCCCTCTGTCCCCACCCGTGGGCAGGCCCTAGCTCTTGGGGTGAACAGGCAGTTGGCAGCTGATCCCTGGCATGAGAGCCCAGGTCTGTAGAGGGCAGTGGCTGGTTCACTGCTGACACATATGTCTTAGCCTCAGCACGTGACACACAGCCTCAGTGGCAGTGTGTGTAAGTGCCACTCACCTAGGAAGTGACATCGGCTGCCTCCGCAGGCAGTGGGAGACCCTGAGAAGCATGGAATTAGTGGGCACCGTCGTGCCTTCCACCTCTCAGCCAGCATTCCAGCTTCCCCCTCATCCGTGCCGTCAGAATCAGTTCCATCCCCCAGACTCGAGGGCTTAAGTGCTCCTCACTGCCCTTCGCGTGGCTCGCGCATGTCCCCATCACTGAGTGGGGTCCTAGCGCTCTTCCTGTGCGTGACCAGCACTGTCCACCCTGACATAATCAGTCTGTCCGGGCCGCGGTGGTGTTTAGTATCATCGGATGCCTCCCACCCGGGAGGGTTCAGCATGGTGTGACCCCACCCCCATCATATTCTGCAGGGACCCCCACTTCTTTCTGCCAGCGGCCTGGGGGCAGGTTTGAGACCTGCCGGGGCTTGCTGTCCTTTGGCCTGGTATCTGTCGGCAAGGGTAGTGAGACTGCTAACCCTGACAGGTAATGGGATCAAGCGCTAAGAACATGCTCTGCCTGGCCCATAGCATGGCCTCGGGAATGTCACTCCTCATTGTCCTGTCACCTCCCCACCCTGCCACTTCCATCTTACTGCTGGTGTGGCCCAAAGGTCTTTAGACCTGGGTTCCTGCCCACTGGGCATGAGCAGTCACAGCATCTCTACTTTTTAAAACTGGGAGAGTACCACTTCATGGGACTATTAAGAAGATCAACGTCAAAGCCCAACATGAAAACTCTTGTCACACTGTAATGACACTGCTGGGCTGCTTGGGACCCTTTCATGGCTCACACTGGAGACCAAAGTAATGAGCCGTTCAGATCCTTGCCCCTGCCTCCTCCCTGCTGTCCATCACTGCACCCTCCAGGATGCAGATCCTCTGGCTTGGAGGTGCCCGGTGTTGTCTCTGATGCAGTGGTTCTGATGTGCAGCCATGCCTGGGAACCCCTGCCTTCAACTCCGACCTGCAGCCGCCCTCCTAAACCTGTCCTGGCAGCCTTGTCTTGAACAGATGCCCTCTACCTTTATTCTGGGTTGGTGCCTGAGTCTGTTAGGTTTTCATAAAAGTAGCTTTATCTATAGCTGGAGTTTTCAGATACATATTCCATTTTCATAGTGAGATGATGAAATGTTTGCAAAAAAGAACAGTTGTAAAAGTGCCATTCAGCATCCCTGTGTCGTCCATGAGTGCTGCCATGTGCTGGGAGGGGAAAAGAATGAACAAGATCTGTTTATTGCTGAGAGGAACAAATAGCTGTGCGGTGTGAGTGAGTGCACTGCCATGGTGCGTGCTACACAGAGCATATGCAGGAGCAGGGCGCCAAAGGAAAAGGAGTGGCTGTCACCCAACGTCATGGGCAGAGGCTGCGCCCAGGGGGCTGTGCCCCAGTTCTGCTGGGACAGGAGTGCTGTCCCTTTCCGCCGGCTCCTCACCGCACGGGCGTGAACACCCCCACATGGTTTGCCAGAGTATGTGTTTTCATAGTAGCAGGTTCCTAAAGACTCTTCCTTACGAAGATTTGAAAGAAAATATTTACCAGGAATAATCTCGCACCCCGTGTACTGAGAACTTAGTATTTGGTAGGATTATTAGTCTTTATTACAAGTTAATCACATGTGGCCCATCTGCTGAAGACAGCTAGTGTGGTCTTAAGCTGTGGGGACAGACGGACGTGTTACTAGAACGTGCACTGCTGGCCACTGTCCTGTGCCGTTCCCGTGTGAGCACACGGGTCACCCGGTGCCCCAGGACAGGGCCAGGAGGAGGAAGAGGAGGCAAGTTCAGAAGGATGTGTTCTGAGAGATAACGCAGCCTCGAGGGTGAGGTCTCCAGGGCCCCCTGCCACATCCAGGATGCTGTGAAGTCTTGGTAGGCAGCAGCTCAGACTCGGGGGCCGCAGGTGTAAGGAGCAAGGCCCAGGCGACCCTTTCTCCTGTCCATGGTGAATGCAAAAATAAAGACATCAGAGTGCACCGTTCCCAAGTTCCTAGATGTTCAGCTATGAGGCCTTTTCCCACTCTTCAGTGTCACTTTTCAGATGCCATTTGATAAGTTTTTCATCTGCAAAATAGAGATGATACTGCCAATGAGCAATGGCAGGGAAAGACCCAGTTTGAATTTCAGCAGATGGATGCTCCTGTTGTTGTACTGTACTGTTATTGATAGCTATTCTATTAAAAACTGTATGTTTCACAAAGTTTTGCCAAATTCTTTCTTGTTAGTTATTGAAAATAAATGTAAGTTTTCTCAATGCTGCGTTTATCATAGCCATAAGTGTAGCATCTAACTCAGTGCTTCCCCGGCCTGGTAGACATTGTGAATCTTTCACCTTGTCTAACCCACAGACAACAGTGTTTATACCTGTGAGTTTCTAGTCACGGTGGGTGTCAGATCCATCTTCAGACCTATAACCATAAACTTCCTCTGACTCTTAACACAGTGTGTAAATATAAAGGCCCAGTTGTTAGTTGGGTGTTGTTCATTCGTGTTGTTGGCTCTGCTGTGTTATGCCCACACATTATTGCCCATGGTATATTTGTTTATTTGTATGAGACTTTTTTCTTTTTTTGGCAACAGAACACTATAAAAAAATTAAATGTGGAAAATGACAGCCTGAGACTGTTGAGTCAGAGCAATGGAAGGTTTTATTTCTCGGTCCTAATTGGAAATATTAGTCAGTATTTTTAAAAATTAATATCTGAGGCATTTGCAGTTTTAATTTCACTCTCCTTTAGG